GTGTGTGTTTGCGTGTGTGCGCACCCGCCTGTGCTTGTTTATTTGATAGCATGTTTTTCTTTGTTCTCCTCACGAGTTTCTGTATGTGCTTTTGGTTTGAAAGTTACAATCGAATTTAGTCGAAATTAGGTCGAATTGAGCCAAAATGGCAGCTTTTGCCCCTCCATGGAAGAAATAATCTAGCTGTCCCAGACTCAAGCAAATTAATTCGATTGACAATAATATATATGCACTGATGAGTCGGTACAAGAAATGTTGTATAACCCTTCACCGAATGATCTGTAAGCCTCATTATCACATCTTATCAATGCTCTTCTCCGCATCACAGGCTCAATAATTGTGGACAAGGACATGACGTGGTAATCTCAAGTTGTTCATCTTCAAACAAGCCGGATAGTTGCAAGAGCGGTATTTTAATGTTGCCGGTTTTTGTTTTGCGTTTTGTTTTTGTTTTGTTTTGTTTTGTTTTGTTTTTTACTTTCTAATTTTTTTTCTTTTTACCTGTCTTTGTTACCTCTTGGTGTCGAATGGAGAAACAAACTTCTCTTTCTTGTTTGTTGTATCGCCTCTTTCATGGTTGTTATATTGTTTTTGTCGTTGATGGGGGCGTATAAAATCTCGTACACTATCCTAAAAAGCTATTGTTTTTGTCTTAATGTTTTTCTGAATCCCTTCATCCATCTTTTCCTGGGTCTGCCTCTTCCTCTGTATCTATCTGATCTCTACTTGTATGCTCCTATCGCTGCTATACTGTCTGATGGTAGTCTCTACAATAGCCAAACCACTTTATTCGTTGTTTTAATCTATGTACTCTAAGCGTATGTTGTGTGTGTGTGTGTGTATGTGTGTGTGTGTGTGTGCGTGCGTGCGTGCGTGCGCGCGCGCGCGCGTGTGTGTGTGTGTGTGTGTGTGTGTGTGTTATCGTTTAATATTGAGCACGTCATTCGAACCCTTCCAAACCCTTTAGCAGTATTGAAAACCCTCTTTTACTTTGTGAGTGGATGGAGGGCGTCACTGGTGGTAGCCCCTAATTCTTTTCTGTCTCTCCGTTGCTTCTGTCTGTGTGGGTGTTTGGAGGATCTCACTGGTTCGTCCTATCTCTTTTGTTCACCTCTTCTGTTTCTGTCAGTGTGGATGATTGGAGAGTGTCACTGTAGGACCCACCAGTGACACCATTCAATCACCCACACAGATAGAAACAACAGAGGGAAAGTAAAGAAGTAAGACCTACCAGTGATACCCTCCAACCACGAAAGAAAAGAAGTATAGGACCTACCAGTGACACCCTCCAACCATCTGTTAGTACAGAGAGTCACCAATATAAATATTTTAAACAAGAATTAATAATTGAAAGAGAGATAAAGAGATAGATAGATAGATAGATAGATAGATAGATAGATAGATAGATAGATAGATAGATAGATAGATAGATAGATAGATAGATAGATAGAC